CGGCCGCGGCAAATTCCAAACGAGGGGAAAAGCGACCATCAGCTAAGGTTGATACTCCAAAAGCATCATCGACAGCTTCGAAGACCCTTTCAAGTCGAAGCAAGCCTGCTACCTCAAGCGGAAAGGATAAAGTTAAAAAGGCAACCACAACAAAAACCTTAAAGGTTAAGAAATAATTTTTTTTATAAAAAAAAGGTAGCTTTATAAAAAGAGTTATGCAAAGAAAAAATTAGGTAGTCTTAACGTGTGACCTGCTCAACCCTACCTTGAATCAAAAAAAAGTGGTCTAATTAAAATTTGTTGTATCATAATTTTTGACCTTGAACTCTTTTACTGCATAAAAGATATTTTTAAAAAAAACCAAAAGCAAAAAGTAACAATCTACGATTTCATTTCAGTCTTGATACTATTCTTTCTATTCTCTCTATTATTTCTTTATCAATACCATTATCCTGGCATATTTTTTTTTTATTCATGCATTTGTTCATATACAATTCATTATCTTTTTCGTGGACAATTTTGCATCTTAATTTAATATTTTCAATGTATTATTCTATCTTAATTATTTTTTGAAAAACCAATTGCATTTTTTTTTTCAACATTTTCAAGTTTTTTTTGTTTTTTTTAGAAAAGCAATTTGTGTTGGGCGGTTGGTTTGATTTTATGGGGAGGGGGGGTTTTTTGGATAGAATGTTAATATTTCCGATAATGGTTTGAATTTAATTCAGGAACAAAGGTCAATCATTCGCTCCCTTGGATCTCTGATTCCTGATTCTTTTTCTAATTTAACCAGAACTTTTGGAAAAAAAAAAAAAAAAAATTGTTTGATCGCTCGATAACGACGGGCGATATTACAAATCATGGACTTTTGCAACGAGCTTCGCAATCTTTTGTTTTTCAGCAAAAATTTTGTATCAAGTTCTCATTTCATTTAAAAAAAAAAAAAGAAAAATTTCACCGACAATACATTGGTTTCCGATAAAATAAATGTAAAAAATACTTGATCTTCATAAAAAAGCTTTTTTTACTTTTCGTATTGGTTTATACATACATATATATAACTATCAATGGAAACTAAAGATAAATTCTATGATATCAAAAAAAATTTTCAAGGGATTGGAATGATCTCATAAAACAACGCAGCCTCAGTGCTTGTTCCTTCCCATCCTCTATTTCCCGAAGTCGTAATCAT